TCGCAATCGACGTCTCCAATTCCACTTTCATCAAATCAGCCAAAATTGTCTCAGATACCATCACAGCCGTCTTTAAATCCGACAACGAAAGTTAATTCAACACCCAACAAAAATAACATAGAAATTAAAGAGAAAGAATTACTAGAATGGTTCAAAGATATGAAAGACTTCAATAAGAACCAAGAAACTTTGTCGCAAACGACGTCTCCAATTCCACTTTCATCAAATCAGCCAAAATTGTCTCAGATACCATCACAGCCGTCTTTAAATCCGACAACGAAAGTTAATTCAACGCCCAACAAAAATAACATAGAAATTAAAGAGGTAGAATTACCAGAATGGTTCAAAGATATGAAAGATTTCAATAAGAACCAAGAAACTTTGTCGCAATCGACGTCTCCAATTCCACTTTCATCAAATCAGTCAAAATTGTCTCAGATACCATTACAACCGTCTTTAAATCCTATGGTTAAAGGTTCTTCAACATCTGTTGAAAATATTGTGCAAAATATGAATGACAGCGTGTTTTTAGATTCTGTATTAGGACTTCCGGATGATCAATTAGAGCCACGTTTTAGTGATGTCGAGAAAAATCAAGATGTTTTAATAGATAGTTCTCTAACAGATATAAAACAATTTTTGAATTCTGAAAATATTGATATACTATATCCACCCAATTATGTGTTAGAAAATCAAGACGATTCTCAATTAGTATTGAGTGATGAATACGCGATAAATGAATCACACTCAAATGAAAGTAAATCGTTTGTAAATAATGATACTGAAAATCTACAAAATGCATTGAATGATATTACATTTCCTACAAATTTTGAAGATACAAAATTAAATGAAGAGTCAAAATTGGAAAAAGCAATATCTGAGTTATCAATTTTTCCATTAGATAAAGTTAATGAAGAAAATGATGTATTATATTCATTGGAAAATTTAATACCTGACAAACCACCAGAATTTGAAGAATTATCAAAGTACGATAATTCATATATTGTAAACACAGAAAATCCCAAAAACGCGAAAGAGGATAATGCTAAATTAACTGTTTTCGCCAACCCTAATGATATTCATATACTTCAACAGTCTCTAACCAATGATAATAGTTATATAAATAATAATTTATTAAATACTCCATCGACAGACATGCCATTATTGTATGGTCCCTCATTTCCAAATAGTGTTGATTACGTTCAACCTTTTAATTCGAATGCTAATAATCAACTACCTAACTCATTATTAAGTGTTAATCAAAAACCGGTGGGTTATAATCAAATTCCAATGTATCTCGCAAATAGTAATGATTATGATCAACAAGTTGCTCCTTCTGCTGTTGATCAAAATCAAATGACATCCAAAATACAATCACCTGGTTTGTCGCTAGATGCATATCAACCAAGTTCTATGGATAACAGTGGTTCTATTTACAAGAAAGTAGACTTAAAAAACCCTTCTCTAAATACTCCTAATTCGTGGTTTTTATCAAAAAAAGATGACACAAAAAATCTACACCCAAACCAAAATTACGGGTACACAAGTTATGATGGTAAAGCACGTACAAGCATTTTTGATAGACCATTGTCGTCTTACCAAAATAATATTCAAGGAATTTTAAATTCACCTTCAAACGATATATTCGCACAAAATATGATATCCGTAATTTCAAATTCGGTTCAAGCACCGTTAGATGGGACTAAGGCAATATTTGACATAACACGTGCCAATTTCCCACATTCTCCAGTGAGTCATATAATTCGATTAACAAATTCTATCGTACAATCTGTGATGCTAAATCTTCGGCAGTCTTTAAATACAATCATAAACACTTTATACGTAAGTTCTTAACTGAATTTGAAGGAATAAAATTGTTGTTATATTTTTAATTTTAAAAATGTTAAGGGTCGACGAGCTAAACGAGATTTTAATGGTTTTGAGATCTTCAACAATTTACCGGGCACTCTGGTTAACAAATATTATCACCAATCTACTGATGCGCCTACGACGAAAAATATAAATTTGCCAAATTACTATAATCAACAAATTTCAGCAGGTATTTCCGTAAAACTACAATTCATATTATTATGTCTATACAGTGAAATCTCTATAAAGTGGACGGCCATGGGGAATTAAAAATTGTCTAATTTAGAAAAAACCTCTACATAGTGGACATTTACGAGAAATTACTAAATGTCCACTATAAAGAGGTGCTATAGAGCAGTGGTTTTCAATCTTTTTAACAATGTAGCACACTTCTTCTTCTACAAAATTTTTGCGGCACACCAATAATTCATATAATACGTGAAGCATATATTTTTATATATAATACATATATATATATACAAAATTAACTCAATCAATAGATTTATCGCGGCACACCGATTGAAAACCACTGCTATAGAGAATTAGTTGTACATATTCATATATATATATTTATATATTATGTACATTGAAATTGGTATATATTGAAATATTAATTTATTATTTATTATATGTGTACCTATTTAATATGCAACATGTATGGTGTGAAAATATTACAAATAATATAATTATTAAGTACCTGTAGACTGTAGTGTTATTAAAATTATTTTTCAAAATATATTAAAACATAAATTCAGAATATTATGAGAATTATATAATATTTAGATTTTGACGGCCAAAGAGCCGGGCGGTTGTCCACGACAGAACGGTATCAGTGTGTATACATATATAGTGGTGCAGTTGTGCACACAAACGCTGTGCACATTTGTACAGTGTAAAAATTAAAACACGTCAAAACAAGCAACCCACGTAATAATGGAATTGATGTGCACTTAAGTACATGCCAATTAAATTGTTTTCCGTGAATTTTTTTTTCGACGTCGCCCTCGTTGTACATCGGTATATGCATCGGCTGAATAGTTTATTTTTAGGTACTCTCATTCATTTATTGTATTCCGATTTCCGATTATCAGCTGTTAATGTTAGTCCATCATTATTCATCATCGAAAATTCAAAACACCAATTGTGTTTCTATTTTTTATCGACGACCAACATCAACGTAATATGTTATTATTCGTGTATTTGTTTTCAATTTTTAAAATGAATTTAGTACTTACTAGTCTAATAATTGCAATGCAATTTTTCAACAGTCATGTTGGAGAAGATGAAAATAAAAAATAAAAGTAGGCTTACTCCAGAGTCCAGACTTAAAATATGAACAAAATAAAAGATAATTGCTAAATAACTAAAATTTGTAAACAATTATTTAATACAATTTATAATATATATTTTTATATATAATATTAGTTATATTTTTTTTGGATGTGCACCACTTTATTAAAAACCCACAAGCCGTCACTGGGTGTCCACGTCCACTAATAGGAGTGTTCACTGTTAAAAGGTTATAACTCCTATTATGTGCATACATACTTGCCGAGATATTTAAAAGTATTCACTCTAGGGAAGGGTCCACTATTGAGAGGTGTCCATTAATAGAGGTTTCACTGTACTGCAAACGGGTTTTCTGAACAAATTAAACTACAGCAACTTTATTGACAGGTCAACAACCGACCGCAGATTATTACGTACGCCAACCTGCAACGGCTGCAACCGAAAATATGTTAGGGCAACGACAGACGTATTACGGTAGCAGCATCGACCAGAATTCCTACAGATCACAATATGATTATAATATTGGTGTTTTACCGCAACCGGCAAACACTCAAAATTACGTTTTGAATTCTTTGGTCGATGCGATCACATCTGCAATACGTTCAAATGTACCTGATCCGTACTCAGTCGACGCACCAGAAATACAAGAATATACCCAGCAAGTGATCGTAGCTGTAGAACTATTTTTCAATAATCAGGTAAAAGAAAAAAATTGCTCTAATATTATCTAATTTTTGAATGATTTTTATTAATTATATTTATTTTTACACTCACAATAATAATGCAGTGAAACCTAAACGTATATACTATATTATAGTATATATATATATATATATATATATATAATATAACGTAAAGATACATTGGTCATAATTCATATTATTCATAATATTGGAAGCTATTGGACTGCAGTTTGCATAATAGAAAACGAAATTAATTCAAAAATGTATTTAATTGTTTGTATTTTTTTATTATTTCTGGGAGAAGATGGCATGGTCAGGTCAAATTATATGACTTCAAATATAGACCAAAAAATAATTAAGAAATAATTTGAAAAATAAAAAAAAAATTTGAGAAATTTTAAATTTTACATGTTGCATATAAAAATGGGTTAGGAAATTGTTTGAAGGAAATAATATTTACACTTTAGGTATATAACTTTATTAGTAATTATGTTATAGTATATTGTAAAAATTTTAAATTTTTGAAATATAGGAATATGATTTACCTACTTGTAAATATGCCATTACGGCAATACAATAAAACTCTGTTTTCCATTTTTATATTTTAACATTAATAATACCTATACCTACCAAATGAAAACAATAGTTTTATAAATATTAAATCATATAAATTTATATAATATAGTAGGTATTTATTTTATTTTTTTATAAAAATTACACTAATATCATGGAAAATATTTTATGTTTAACAGCATACACGTAGGCCATAGATACATTTTAATATTGTTGTACAATTATTTGATATTTAATAAGTAGGTCGACGTATAAACCTGGTTCAACTTTTTTTTCGTTTTGTGTTGAGAACGGTATTGTGGACATAATAGTATAATACCACAGAATTGATTAAATACCACCCGACAACTGACAGCTCAAATTGCCCTACACTGCATAGTGTGAATACACCCGACACGAGCAATTCGAATAGGTAAATAATACTAAAAATAAAGCGAAAATTTATTTTCAACATAGTACATACTGTATTGTTTCATCAAATGTCATTGATTTGGTTATATTTTTTTGATGACATATAATACATTATCTCATTAAAATCTTTATTTGACAAACGTTACAATTTTTATCTATAACAACTATTAAATGTTTTTTTTTGGTTATTAGTAGCTATGTGACAGTAAGGTGATACTACCTACCAGGGCCTAAAATACATCTAATTTCAGGGGACACACTTATTAATTTAACTGTTGACTTTGGATTTTGACAGATTTCTATTGCAAAAAAAAACCTGTGTAGGTTGTAACTCCCAAAGACCCCCTTCTTTTAGGCAATACTTATTACCTTACACATTAATAATATTTACAAAAAAAAAATATATGATATTGGTATAATATCATAATAATCTGTTGTTCAAAAATTCTGAAATACCCACATAGTATATTTATAGAGAAAACTCCACGTTTGAAACAAGAATTTTGTGGAACAAAAGTCCGTTGGAACTAGGAACATGTGCTTTGTGGAATAATGTGTAATGACCACGAATTAAGATATCTTAATTCGTGGTAATGACCCGCCAAAGTGTATGATATCAGATATAAATGCCTATCACTCGATATTTGTATAAAATTGATAATGATTCTCTATTTATTTTGATGAAATTGTGATGAAATTCATAAATTATTGTTATTATTACTTATTTCCGCAATCAAAACTAAAAACGTATTATAAAACTTTGGACACACATTTGTCATTCAGGGGACACAGTATTTCAGGTCCTGCTACCTACTTTCTGTTTAAATTCTGATTCTCAACGAGAAATATATTAATTGCATTCATAATGTCAGACAATTCTTTTCATTTTCCATGATTGCATTGAACGTAACAATGTGTTTTTTATTAAATTTTTTATTGTGTCTGAATTCTGAACACTATTTCTGGTAGAAAAAAATGCTCCAATCATCAACTCCGATAGTAGCTTCTGTCAGTGATGTATTTAGGTTTTTGTCATGGGGGAGGATATGATTATATAAATGAAGATACCAATGAGAGTATTGTACAATATATTATAATATTTTAATTCTTGCAAATTTAATCAATTATTGATAAAAAAAAAATAATAATAATAATTTTTTAAATAATAATATGATGACTATAATTATTTGTGTGTATACAGACTATGGGGGGGGGTTTATCCCCTTGATCCCCTCCTCCGTAAATATGCCACTGGCTTCTATTATAAAATTAGTATTTAAAATAAATTACTTTAATAGTTATGTTAAATAACATATTACGAAAATAAACTTATCTAATATCTATAGTAAAATGTACTGTAGTAATTAATATGCTGACAGATAATTTAAGCTCAAAACCATTTTTCATTAAATTTAAATTTAATACGTGTATTACAATACTCAATGACCAAATATACTCGATAAGTACTGAAAAGCAGAAGTTATTTACTTCTGCCCTTTTTTGCTTAAACTAAGAATTTATTTAAATTCTAATATCTTTAATTTTCAAATTCCCTTAAAGATCATATTTTTAATTACTCAGATTTTGATTTTTTACAGTATTTAAGATTCTCCTTCCATCTATATTCTTTATATATTTTAATCAATTAAATTTTCTAAATTAAAATTAATTAATTAATATATAATACACACATACATATTTTTAAATTTCAGATTGATAACATACTTCGTGGACAATCACCAACATCGAATAAGTATTAAACAATAATAATTAATCAAAAACATTAGTTTTTCTTGAATATTTTTTATTTATTTCACAATTAAACATTTACATAAACAATGTGATGAATATGATTTTTTATTTTTTTTAAAAGATACAATTATTTAGTAATATAAGGCACAAGTGTAAGGCACTTTTGTTTGTATACACAATTACCAATTAGCCTAATATAAACAGTAATTGGTACAATTAGTGCAAAATAGATATGTGATACTAGTGATATGAGAACAATTATAAAACTTAAACATAACAATATTATTTATTAATCAAAATAATATAATCATAAAACTGCCACATTATACATACATGTATTAAATAAAAAAACATCACCTATACACAGTTTTATAAAAGTAAAAACAAATATTCAGAAATTGTATAGTGTACATTTTAAGTAGCTTAACAATAATTTAAAATTTGATTTGGAAAAATTAAAATACCTAAGTTAATGTCTTTATTTAATTTTATATAAAAATAATAGAATACATGAATATACAAATAGACGACTAGTAAAAGGCGAATGAACTAAAAAAAGGAAATATTTTTAGGAACACAAATCATGTTATTCTTTGAACTGAATTGGCATAGACACATTATGGGTGTTAAAACTTATAACCCACAGAAATAGGTGCACTGCACATTTATAAGTAGAGATTATTTTCTCTATTACTTTATATGAACCAAATAATTTACCCCACATTATTTTTAAACTTTAACCAGCCAATTATAAATTGAAAAATATCTTGTAAATAAATCTTATAATTAATTAATAATTCAACTTGAATGAATTAACAACGAAATAAAATATCAATTTCTACAAGTTACAAAAACATTAAGAGGTATTTAATTTAAAATATACGAGATTTAAAATTATTAAAAGATGAAATTAATAATACTAATACAAAATAAAATCATTATACTCATATTGGTTCCTTTATCTAACACAATATATATTTTTTAATAGTGTATTACACTAAAAAAATTTTTATTCAAAATGTTTCAGCTCATAATGTTAATATTATTAATGGCAGTGTTCTAAAAATTAATGTAAATAAACATCATAGTATTCCATTAAATATTAATTTAAAACAGGATTCAATTTTTAAATATCATAATTACTTCATGGCATCAATTAAAATTATAAATTTAATTTTAACATATAAAAAATACTAAATAGTAAAATATAATGAATAAAGACTAGAACAAATTTTTGGTGCAAAAATATAAGTAAGTAGGTGAAAGGTGATAAAAGAGTGTTAACTAAAATCATTAAGCATGGGATTCAGGGCCAAAACTTAAATGATTTTTAAGAACTTTCAAATTGAAATAAAATGTATTAAAACTATTCACAAGCTAATTTGCTATCAAAACTACTTAGAGTAATAGCAAATGCTTGCATTGCACACAATGGATATCTGTAATCCATTGTAAAGAGATCATCTGAAATTCGACCGAATTGCAGGACGATGTAATCAACTGAAAAAATAATAAAATATCATAAAATAAAGATAGTAAAAACAGTTATTTATACAGTAAATTTATTTGTTAAATGATATAATTCTTGAATAAAAATCCAAATAAACCTTTGTAGTGGTTAAACAAATATAATAAAATATAATCTGATGCCCCCACTTTCATATAAGATGGCCTCAGCCAAAATATTACTTTACTATATTAATATAAGCAAAATTTAAACTAGGCAATTATTTTAATTAATTAAGTGATGTTCTTGAGAATTTGGCATTTGGCGAGCACTAGCACATCCATTTCTTGCTACTATGAGCAATATTCCCTGTATCTAAGATTATTATTATATAAAAAAAGAGTGTAATTTTAAAAATATATTCTAATATTTTAAATTAGATATTATAATTAAAAAATATGATGTCAATTATTATACACATGTAAAATATATTTACTTAATTATTTTTAAAATATTGATTATGTTAAAGAATAAAATTTAATTTTTGATACCATCCTACCTAAGATATTTTATTACCCAGTTTATAACAAAATTTAACATGTGATACATAATTAGTTGAGATTTTTTAAATAAAAGATGATTAAAAAAAATGTTCATATAATTCCTTGATTTAAATATTTAAAGGTTACACTTCAGAATACATTTAATTATTATTTTTATGTAATTATATGTTATGTGTATATAATAATTAATACATCTATATATTACGAATATATGATGAAATAAAGTGTATTAAATATATCCTGATTTTAAAATTTTTTTAATGTATTTATCTAGTACAGTGATTCTCAATCGAAGTGATAAGCTATCCTGGGGTAAGAAGGATCCAGTATAAGGGCAACACAAAATACTCGAGAAAAATAAAAATGAAAGAGAATTTTTAATTTTTTCAAACAAAACTTTATAGAGACCGTCTGGGTCAAATATCTCGTTAATTTTTCAGATTTTATTATTATTTATCGATATTCTTACTTTTTTTTTTTCAATTTACAACAACAATGTTTATTCAATACTACAACTAAAATAAAATGTGCAATTATTATATTTTTCCATATTGTATTTTTTAAACCTCGATATACTTTTTCTAAAATTAACAGCATAAACTATAAATTGTTTAATATTCTGATAGGGTGACACAGTATTGAATGATTGTGGATGAGGGTGACATAAATTCAAAAATGTTGAGAACCACTGATCTAGTAGATATGAGGAATACACAAGTGGTTGCAAACAATTTAACACTTAATTTTTCAAGAAATTATATGATAATAATCTAGGTATTTCAAGAACTACAGTAATTTAATAATAAAAAACTCACCATCATTATCGTGAACAATTTGAAAGTTTTTAACTGAAGCTTGTGTGACTCGTCCATGAAAATTAAGAACATACGATTGGGTTTCTTCATTCCACTGTGGAGTTTTGTTATGCAATTCTATCAGGTCATCCATATTTTTTGTTCGATAACATTCTATAAACATTTGTTATTAAATAATATGATTATTTATTTAACTTAAATAATTTTCAAAATTAAATAATAATTTGATTATTACCTAGTAGTGAACTATAGTTATCAGTTGTGGCGACTTTAACTCTTTGGTGGTTTTTATTCATACCTGGTATTACAACAGTCATTTTACGCGGTCCCTTAAATCCTAGCACATTTGTTTCCTATAAAGTAATGTATTATTTATAAAATATAAAAAATGTTATTTCATCTTTTGCCATTGCTTTTTAAAATCCAATATATTGTAAATGATTTTTTTAACTTACATATACTACAGCTGCTAATTCTTGTCTTTCTTGTACTCCTTCTACAGACTTATAAGGTGACATACCATTATCATAGACAGTGAACTGAGTACCAATTAAGTTTGATCTAAGTTTGCCGACAAATGATTCACCTCCTCTAGATAAATCAGTTGGATCTGTTGATATTAGATAATTTGATGTTCTACTTTTTTTACGTTTACGTGCAGCCAATAAAAATATCTATAATGATAAAATAATATAATAACAAGACAGTATTAATTATTCAATATTTAAAGTTTTTATTATTAATTTACCTTTGATCCATTTCCCTTGTCTAAATGTAAATAATATGTAGGATATAACCCTCGATCCATGCCTTTTTTGTCTCTAGTTATGCGACATTTAAAATGAACACCTTGGGCAGCAGGTTCCAAGACAAATGTATCTAAATTTCCATATACATCTCCTTCCAATTCATTAGTCTATACAGCAAAAAGATAAAAATAAATATTATACTATTTAAATATTTAGATGACTTACATCAGTAATTGTTGAAGAAGGATAAATGAATGGACTGTTTTCTTTTATGTGTATTGAACTTAAATTTTTAGCAGGAGAAATGGAACAAGATTCTTCATCTTCAGTATCTTCAGATATCCTACGTTCATCAATAGTCATTTCAGCTACTTCTTTTCTCATATCTAAAAATAATAAACATAAATACTAATTCCAATAGTTATTTAATTAATCTATTCAACTATGCAGATTTAAATCTATATTTATACAATATATTGTGGAGTGTTCCTAACAAAACACAAACATAAATGCATCATTTATTTATTATACTTAACATACTTTAAAATTATAAAAATTATGGTGATTGAAATTGATAGAATTCAGTAATGAACTGATGAATCATAAGGATAAAAACGACAGTCAATTTATGATAAAATATCAAAAATCTTACTTTCATCAAGATTCTTTCAAAGATTCCGTTTAAGTAGAATACATTATGATCATAAATATAACTTTACGAACCTTCAATAACATCATGATTAATAGATTGTCTTGATACACCTAATATATCACTGGAGTCTGGACTGCAATTCATCATAGCATATGTTAATGGACCATCATAACCTATTAATATGAGATAAAATAAATAATTTAATAAAACAGTATATTAATTATTAACATTATATGATATAGAACAGGGGTCACCAACTGGCGGACCACGGTCTGGATACGGACCTTGAGTACTTTTTTTTACGGACCGCGAGCGCGTTTTCATTTTATATTAATAAATGAATTTAATATGAATAAATAAATAAATATAAATACAAATTTAAAAAATGTATTTACCTACTATTTATTAACGTGTGCAAGTCATTAAAACTGTTTGGACCGCGTAAAGTTTGGTAAGTTTCAAAACGGACCCCCATAGAAATTAGTTGGTGACCCCTGATATAGAATATTATTTGAATAAATAAACAGAAAATTAAAATTAAAATAATATTATAGATACTTGTATCAAAACTTGAATAATGTATTTTTATTGTCTAATTAATATAATTTTCTGAAAGTAGAACTTGCTTATTATACTAATGATTTTAACTTATAATTTCTGTCATTTATTTAAAAAATAGAAGTGTTGAAGTTTAGTTTAAAGCATATAAATTATTAGCCACACAACAACTTAGTAACAACCTAGTCATGTTTTATACTAAAATCTAAACTATAGATCTTTTGTAGTTTTGAATTAGATAAAAATATAAATATATATATTTTATATAATCAAATAACCATTTTATCAAAGAATAAACCTGTTATACCTAAAAAATTTAAACAAATTCTATAGGTGATTACATTTGTTTGAATTTGAATATATGGATAGATTTAATTTAAAACAAAAACATATAAATGTTATTCAATTAACATTACTTACAATTCATTTCCAATGGCCGAGCAGATTTAGGCCTTATTCTTGCGCTAGGCATGACATTGTCTGATGCTTTTATTATCTGTGGAGTTTGTCTGACCTGCCTCATTTTCATTTCCAATAGTTGTTTCTGTATAAATACAAATAATTAATTATAAAACAAATAAAGAGGAGAACATTTGTTGTAATGATAAAAATATAGTAGGCAAGTACTTGTTGTTCCAGTGTTTGGTGACGAATGTTCCGAGTAGTAGTGGACATTATTGAATTGTATGTCACAGACACAGGACACCAAAAAGATACCAAAATTCGTAAAATATCACACGTACTACAAGACTTATGAACTAAAGTCAGAAAAAAGACTTGCCAATAGCATCAAGCTGAAAACACTAAGCCATTCTATCCATGTTTTAATAATTTCTATTGAAAATTAAAATATTCTTTAACTTAATAAAATTTATAATTAATAATTTTAATTTGTCAGTAAATAGTAATCTTAACCCTTAACTTGTTATTCATATCACGAGAGACCGGACTTGATGAGTAAACTTGTTTTGTTTTGTAATCTAAACAACATTTCAGGGAGTATAATAAAATAATACATTGTCAAGGAGTATTTATAAATGTTGTTGTCGACAACATTTATTGGAACCATTATCTTTTGTACTATATATCTATTTTTTCCAAAGTCAACTTGTTCCAATTATATTAAATTCTAAATTTTACATTTTGTTCCAAAACATATTAGACACGAAAAACTTAATTCGATAGGTAAACATTTTTCCCATTAAAATATATTTAAATAAATTATATCTGTTCATCAATTCACCCATGGCCATACATTTATTTTAATGAACATTTATTTCATGATTAATTTGTTCCAAAAGAATATTTATGCAAAACATTTGGTTTTGAATCAAATGTGAGATGACAAACTAAAGATTTGTCGGAAAATAAATGTGCAAAAAAATATTTGAACAGCATGTGGTTTATACTTTATTTCATAGGTAGACTTGCCATTCGTTGTGATTTTGTTATTAATTAGGTAGTCCCGGTTTTATCGACATGTCGTTGTGTCCCATCTAGTCATTCGGTTTTTTCTAATTCATGGAAACTGAGATTTTGGTTTAATTTATTATGAATTTTACGAAAAAATTAAGAATAATATTGAAAAAAAATTCATTTGCGGTATTACAAGAAAAAAAGGTCAGGGGTGGCTTTTTTTTGGGGGGAGGGCATAGGAGCCATGAATCATTAGATCATAAATTAATAAATCTATTTCGAATTATAATTTAATATTTATTGGAACATTTTATTTTCCGAACAAATAGCTAATCCCGAAATCGTTTTCTATATTTATTATTTATTCCAATGAATTTTTTCGACAAACAGTGTCTGCTTGGATACACTTTGTTAAAATCCAACAAACATTTATTCAAAAAACTATTTTGAATAAACTTTTTTTAGACAAATGTTTATTGGAATCAATAATTATTGTGGAACATGAAATTCGAGTACCTATAGGCTATAATACATTAATACGATCCCGTTAATAATATATTAATATTGTGGTCCATTTGCATCTACATAAACAATACGTATTTACGACAATATGATACCGTACGGTCCAAAGAGACGATAACAGTTTGCTCATAAAAATCCATTGGCTCGGCTGATAGGCGGGAACAGAGATAAAAATATTATTATCTATATCTGTGCCGGGTAGTATAAAGCCTTAGTCTTAGTCCTTAGATCATATATGATCTAAGGCTTTAGTAATTCTCGGTCGCTACTAATTTATCAGTGATTTGTGCATTTTGTGGGCAACATTCATGTTCAGTGTTTAGTTTTGTTTTTAAAATTGTTACGAAAGCACTGAGAACAATTAAAATATGTAAACGTGTACCTATAGATTCGTTTTGTTAAACATCAGATATCGAATTTTGAATTTTTCAATATTCAAAAACATTTTATCACTTATAAGTTTTTAATATTAGCCAATACCATAATGTCAATAAAGAGCTATTTTTGTTTTAAAATAAAAGTATTAATTGGCGTGATTTTGTCAATTGTATTGGTGTCAGTTATTGGTAACTTTTATTGTTATAATTTAATAAATAATTGTGTTATTTCTAGTACTCCGATGGTAATCAATACATGGGCATTTACTGATGCGACATCAAAAAGTAATAATTTCTTAATTACTATTTAAAAAATAAAAATATCTACTTACTGTGGACGTTAGTTTAAAACAACAACCTCTAAATTGTTTATTTTGTGATTTCTAAAAATTTGAATTTTTATTAAAATAATTCAATTTCTTATATCCGTGCTGGCCAAATAAATCTATAAATGACGTCTCAAGGTATTATCCCGCAACAAACGTGTGAACTGCTGACAGTTATACGATTCTTTTTTTTACAGAACCATGTTCTATTTTTAATTTCATTCATTGTTCTATACATTTTTTTTTTATAATTAGTAATATTTTATGCATTTTTAAGTATATCCGTATAAATTAATTTGCTTAAAGCAATTAATAATATATCATTTAATTCAAAATTTGGCTTACAGTCATTAGGCTAATAGTTCTCTAATCTAATAAGATTTATAAAATGCTCATTATATACTGTTTTTATTTAAATACAACTATAGGTTGGGAAGTATTAAATAAAACAAGCTCTGCAATTGATGCAGTTGTAGCTGGATGTACAGTTTGTGAACAAGAGCAATGTGATGGTACTATTGGATATGGTGGAAGTCCTGATGAAAATGGAGAAACTTCTTTAGATGCCCTCATTATTGATGGGTTTGTTAGTTATATATTATCAATATTTGCTTAAAATGTTAATAATTTAATTGAAATAATAAATCCATAGAGCTACAATGAATATGGGCGCTGTTGGGCATATGAAACGTATCAAATCAGCCTCTAAAGTAGCACGGCTTGTGATGGAAAACACAAAACATACTCTTCTTGTAGGTGATGAAGCAACTAAATTCGCTTTACAGATGGGCTTTAAAGAGACTAATCTCAGCACAATTGATTCGATAAACTCGTGGAAACAATGGAAAACTAATAATTGTCAGCCAAACTTTTGGACTGTATGTTGTTTATCTAATACTGTCATGTAATTAAAATGTTGACTCATTAAATTGATTAAAAATGTATGTTAAATGTAGAATGTCAACCCAGATCCAAAGAAGTCTTGTGGACCTTACAAATCAAATTTATCTAAACAATCAAAACCCGAGTCAAATCGTGTTGATATAAAAAATCATGATACTATTGGAATTATTGCAATTGACCAACAAGGCAATATTGCTGCTGGTACATCTACGAATGGTGCCAAATTCAAAATACCTGGGTAAGTAATAAACAAAATATCTTTTATGTATAGATAATTTTTCTGTACGTATGTTAGTATTAAACAACCAAATTTAATATGGATACATTTTGTATGGACAATAAAATACTTGTATCATTATAATGAATAATGTTATAACTAATATGAATTAACTATTTTAAAGTATGATATTCTTAAGATAATATTTCATCGTGAATTATATAATAATATGAATTATTATTGTTACTTAGAGAAAAGAATATAAAGCAAACCTAGGAATGGATAATTTAAAAAATTCAAAATTCAAAATCTATGAACAAAAATGACTATTACAAATTTAATGTACATGAATGTTCATAATTATCTGAATTATTTTAGAATCAAGTTTATATTTTTGATGAACTTGAATTTTATTCTAAAAGTTAATTTTACTTCTAAATTAATTTATGTTATTCCAATAAGAATATTGATTATAAGATAAGAAAAATAAATGTTCATTAAAAATCAACAATTTGACTATTGGTCATAGTGCTATTTCTATGTTTATTTTACTTTTGAATTCTAAGCTATTAGTTTTTACTGGTTTCTATTTTTCTATGACACTGATCTGCTATGCAATTATTATTATTGACAATATTATTAACTATTGTCTATTAATGATACTTATTAGTATAGTTTTGTATAAAAAACTTAAAAGTTAATTTTTAAATAAGTCAAATTTATTTAGAAAAAAAAGTATGTAAGTTAGTGAACTTATTTAAAATGTTTTATAATAAACTAGTTCATATTTAAAACAAACTTTACAAGATTTGAATTATGAATTTATATTGTCAAGTAATTGTAAATTATGCTAATATTTCCTTTTATAAACATATATTTCTACTATAATTATAAGTAGTGAGAAATAAATCTTCTCTGTGACCTATTGCTTATTAGTTATTAGTATTTAAATATTTAATAACAATACATATTTAGAGTCTTATAAACTGGTTAGAATGGATTTTTTTTACAAAGTTGTTGTTACGTTTTATATTATGTAAAAAAATATTTTAATTTCAATATTATAATAAATTAACTTGTTAAAATTGATTAAGTATAACAATTGCTTTAATTGCAGTTTATTCGATATAAATTACTATAAAATGTGAATAAGATTTTAGAGTTTCAAGTAATATGCCTCATATTATAATTAAGTTTATTTTGATTATTTTTAATACAAGTTACAAAGCTTTTTTTTTTTTTAAAAAAAACAGTATTATATTGTTAACTATAATTATTATAATTTATATTATAAATACTGCAGAAGAGTTGGTGACTCTCCCATTCCTGGATCAGGTGCTTATGCTATGAACACAGTTGGTGCTGCTGTAGCAACAGGCGATGGAGACATATTAATGCGATTTTTACCAAGGTAATACTAATATTTTTGCATAGACCTAAAAACTAATTTGTGAATTGATTTGTATGTGTTTCTCTTTTATTACTAGTTTCCATGCAGTTCAAGAAATGAAGCAAGGCTATCTTCCTAAACATGCTGCTCAATTAGCCATAGATATGATTGCCAAATATTATCCTGACTTTAGTGGAGCAGTTATTGCTGTTAATAATTATGGAAGTTATGGTGCTGCTTGTCATGGATTTGACGAATTTCCCTATTCTATAGTAAATTCTGAACAGAATAAAGTGTTTATACTTAATATCACTTGTACCAAATAAAAATCATAAAATTGTTACTATTTTATATATATAAAATATTAGTTAATATTTAAGAGATAATATTTTAATAAATTTTATACCTATTTTAAAAATAAATATTTGTTTTTACTTGTTAAACAATAAATAATAATTTTTCAAACAAACAAATTATTAGATGAGTAGGGTCACATTTGTTTTATTGATTAGATTAAAAAATAATTAGGTATGATGCTAATATGAATCTGAGTTTAATGATTCAGTGAGTAAAATTTGATTTTTTGTGCATTGATGTCCCTCTACCTCCTTTAGTTACCACGTGCTGGGAAATCAGGGCTGTAGGTAGAAATTTATTATTATGGATATTACAAACCAATATTTAATGTAATTAAGTTCTGAAAATGACATTAAAAAATAAAAAATAAATATAGAATTCATGTTAAAATACTTTCAATTTTTTTTTTATTAAAATTTGTAGTAATATATCTAATTTAATTCTTTCGTAGTTTTTATATAAATTGTCTTGAATAAAATATCATTTAACCTAGTTTGGCTAGAAATAGTTAAAAACATATTGTTTAAAAAGAATAAGTTTCTCTAAATAGACGTCACCATTTTACTATTTTACTTTAATTATTGGGATAAAATCATCTGCACTATAGATCTATAATTTGTAGTGGTGCCCTGTAGTGGTGTAGCCAGGATAATAAAAGGGTCCCCGCGGATCAAGTATAAATTAAACTAAGTTTTTTACAGTTTTCCTTAGGTTTGTTGTTTAGTTTATTGAACTATTCAAGAACCAAGTTTAGTTGTGTATATACACAATAAATATATATTATAAACCCCCAATGTAAAATGTATTTATTTTTTCATAGAATCATATGTAAATAAAATCCATAATGATATGAACATAACTTTAATATTTACTATTTTTCTTGTTTTGGCTAAGTAATTGATAAAAAATGTCTTTCAACTATAATATTATTTTTAAAATTTAATATTAAATAGAAAGGTAATTGAAGTGTGGGGTGCTCCTGACTGCACCACTAGGAATATCAGTAAATATTTTAAAAACTTTTTGAAACTTTTTTTTATACCCGCCGTTATGTCATTTAATTTTATCTATACAATTTACTTCTGTTTTTTTGACTCCAGCCTCATTTTACTACATAAACAAAAAAAAATAATAGTTTATTTGATTAGACTACTTTAATGTCATACACTCATACCTATTACCTATACTTATCTAATAAATATTTACAAAATAAATGTCTTGGTTGTAGCCGAAAGTACCGTTATATTTTAATTCACCGAGTACAAGATAATTATAAATTAGTAAATTATATTTTTTATGACTCGAATTTGGCGGGTGGGTGACTGATAATTGCAGCTTATTATGCATTTAGAAGTATCAACATGCTGCATTGGATCGTTTAGACGCTCATGAATGAGCGGCGCGTGGCTTGACGCAGTGATAAGTAACTTATAGGCTATAGCTAATATATTATTATATTTTTTGTGACTCTGCGGTAACATTTGATATATTTAAAAAATATGACAAACTTAATACGCCCTTGTGGCGTGGAAATCCATTAAAACTGTTTAAAAAGACAAAAATGTATTTTATTAAAAAAAAAAATTACACACCCTTCACAATATTAAAAAATATTTCACTATTAACCTATTCATTTAAAAATAAATAAGCATTTATATCAAACATAATAACTATATTAACTACAACATTATTTTATACTAATATTATGTAGTTTGTTTGTTTTTTTTTTTTTTATTATTGAATTTAGGTAATAGGTATCAACCTGTTGAGCTTGGAATATTTTCATATCGTCTTAATGAATTCACTTTCTTTTTTTGCTAACCGATCTAATATAAATTAATATAAAATGTGAATTTTACTGCAGGCGCACTTGGCATCACGCCGATCACGGCTACAAATACCTATATTCGTCCTCGGAATATAATATCATATAATAATAACAACACTATGAGTGGTATACTGGTAGGTATTTATTATTACAGACGGACGTGGGCTATTAAAAAAGTACGATGTAGATAACCGGATGCTCTCAGACGATGCCCCGTCATTCGCCATGTATATAATATTATATCGATAGTCGACACTGTCTAAAAAATAAGCAATACATTTTAAAACGGATGGAATACATGAAATCACGATCAACAGAGGTATGTTTTATGAGTCATGTGTTCCCATACCCATAGTAAATATGTTAATATTAAATACCTATATGGGAATAACTTTCCAGAATTCCAGCAACACTAACCTATAGTCTATAGGTGCCTATAATAAGCCGGATGAGCCATCAAGAAGATTCGCAGTCAGGCCTGTTAGTGCTTTCTTGACATCGGTCCCTTATTTCCTGACGAAGTACATAATTTTAAATGGGTAACGTCATCCTACATACCTATATATTTTTTTTTATTTTCTAGCATTATTATATGTTATTTATTTGTCAGCGTACTATAGTTTAAATTAATAAGTCTATCGAACAAACCCTTGATGTTTTTAAATTATTAACATTAGAATCATAATATTTATCATTATAGGTAGGTGCAGTAGTAATTTTCGACTTAATAACACGATAACTCAGATTATACAATCTTTTCATCAATCACCACAAGGGTTTAACTCATTTAATATAGTAGCGAGCTGTATCTGGTGGATTTGAGGTAGAGGCAATCGGCTCCTTTTAACCTTTTTTTAACAGATTTATTTATTTTTTTTTGTTATAATATGTTTAAAAAATTTTAATAGTTTTGTAGTCTGCAGATAATACATTTGACTAACTACCGTTATCACTAGACAGTAGACACTAATACTTAACATCTTTAACAAACATAATTGCTCAGTTATAAAACGTTTATTAATCTATAAGTAATATTAAACTATAATTATTTAATATTAAAAATTGAATCGCCTACGTGTAATTCGTTAGGTGTTAATATTCTGTGATAACCTATTGATGGCGCGTTTTAGTTATATAAATATTTTGAAAACGGTGAAATTCTGTTTTCGTTTAACACATGCGCAACATAGGAACTTATTAGATATATTATATTTCCAACGTAAATCGTAACGATTGATCTGAAGAAGTAATTATAAAGACTATAAACACCACGGTTATATAAAAAAAATAGAAATGAAAAAAAAAAACAAAATGTTAGAGAAAAACGCTGATGAATCGATTGATCTCAATCAATAAACTTTACTATAGGTATATTTCTAGTATTTCTACATCGGCATAACTTAGAGTAAATTCTTGCTCTAAGTAATATTTATTTATATATTTTATTTGTTTACATTATAGCAGGTATTAATTTAAAAACCGTGATTTGATTGTTCTAAATGTAACATTACAATTTAACTGATAAATAATAATATTAATTACAACATTTATTGCGAAAAAAGTGACAAAGAATAAACTGAATTGAGACTCCGTAACATTTTTGCAATGGGTGTTGAACCCATTTACCCATATGAAGTACGGTGGTAGGTACGGCAATTGAAAAAGGGAGTAATTTCTAATAGAATGGGTAAGCACACGGAATGAAGTAGGATCCAGGGGAGGACTGGAGGCAAGTGCCACCCCCGTTGGAAAAAAATATTAAACATTTTTGTATTAGGGGGGGGGCTATATCTATATTATATAATTTTTCCTTTAAAGTGCCTCGACCGTAAATACATGTTGGATCCGTCCTTTGGTAGAAGAGAGAACATTGGGTATGATTTAAGTGATCTCTCAAGAAGTGAAGTGATGCAATGATGGTCAGCCTAAATGCGCCAAGAAGCTTAAGTAGGGATTCGAAAGGCGGAGGAAATAAGTGAGTAATTGTGAATAGGATGTTTGATTTTTAATATTAAGGCAGCATATGAAATAAATCTGTTTTTATACTCGTTCTAATTTTAGTTCATCACCCGCCGAGTATAGATGCCATACCAGTACACCACTACCCCATATTCTAAGATAGAAAGAAAGTAATGATAAATAAAAAAAGCAGAGACAAGAGCTAGGTGAGAAATTGATGGTATTACGTTTAACAAATACTAATATATTGAGCGCTCTATCGATTGTAATATAAATACAGTGGTGGTCAAAAGAGAGCGCGGGCGTGAGATAGATATCTACGTCTTTAATAACAAATACACGATCGAGAATAATAGGATTATAGTACCTAGTGGTGGTGAGGATGGCGAGTTGCAGTATTTTAATAGGACATAATGGGGTAAAATTAAAAATTTATTAGGAGGAAAAAAACTGAGAAAACACTATCTCCCTCAGATTATGCCTCTGCCTTGCTTTGCGATAGACATACACAGAATCCTTGTTTTTAATCCATTTAACATTAGTTTTAATATTTTCCACCGCTTGATTTTTCATCCGTGAGAATCCATTATATTTGTAACTTGTATTTACAAATACTTACGATTGTCAAATATTATCCAGACATTAGAGCGATTATTATTGTTGTTGATAACTGTATGGACATTATTGTACTGCTTATCATAGATTTGACAAATTCCCATAATTTACTGTACATCTTAAACTCTAAAAAGCCTCTACATTTTCACCACATACACCAAATACAAATTATGTAATAGCTATCATTAGCTACATTTTTTGAAAAAAATGCAGCTTATGTACTCTTAAATAAAGTTTTAAATGTGAAATGTATTACTATAATATTATATTGCAATCAGTGAAACATAATTTGTAATCGTCATTTTCAATAACATTTTATATTACAAAAATAAAATTATAATAAAAACAAATACGTTTTTGTACTTGTTAAACAATAATTAATAACGATTCAGTATAAATACATTCATAGTAACACAATAATGAGTACACATAGGAACGCATTTTTCATTAAAAAAAAATATATATATGTATAAATATATATATATAATAAATGAGGTCAATATAACCTATTTACACATGGTACCTATAAGGTAATCAAATTTGAAATATTTACTTTTGAAAAATTTGTAAAGATTTATCAAACAACAATTATTGTTGGTGAGCAAGACGATTGTTTCAACTCTAAAATAAACAGAATAAATTATATAGGTACATTTCGCATCACTGTATCGGAATGTGAACTGTTCGTTTTACCTATAAATTTGTTTTATTTGAAGCTTAACATTGTTGAATTGATTCAATGTCATTTGGTTCACAGCAATTTCTATCGAAACACTCGATATTATTGCACTGAACCAAACACTGTCCCATACCATATTCTGGAACCATTTGTATATTTTGATCGTCTTTGAAAAACTCTGGTTGAATAGTCACTTCTAAAATTCCATTATCGTGGAAAAAGTTAACAACCGCTTTATTTATTCGCAAATAATCCTTGAACAAAAAAATATTACAAGATCAATCAAAAACAATTAATCCACATAAACACAAATTAATGCTGCATGTATAAATACTATAAAAAATATCATTATATTTCCATTTTACTTGAGGGTTAAGAAACATAATATGTGCAGTAGATATTATTTTATCTTCAGTTAGTTGCCATATGTGTAGTTCATGTACATTTACAATGTCTGGAAATGTTTTCATCAAGTTTTTGCAAATTACATCAATATTCATATGGTCGGGCATGGTTTGAAGAAGAATTAAACACGATTCTTTCACTAAAATATTAAAATGTAAAAATAAAACATTACATAATACTAAACTTTAGAGCAATTGATGCGAATAATTGGAATCAGAGAATCACTTTTTAAACTTGTCAAAAATCACTTACTATTTGGATACTTAAGATAGAGCATTATAACAGCCGATATGATTGAAATTCCAGGATCAACAAATTTGCCTATACAAGGGTCAGTGAATAATACGATGATAGAACAAATCATCACCATCGTGCAACCTATAGAAATATTTTATTTATTTTATTGTAAGTTTACTATTTTCCTTTATTTTTTACAAAAATATTCTACCAACTACATCTCGACATATTTCTCTTGAGCAACAGTTTTTAATTTGTATTTTTTTTTTCAGCAATTGACCAGAACTTAAAAGAGCATTGGCGCTTTCTTCGTCAGGAACTCTTGCGTTTTGAACAAATGGACCTGCATTGAAAATGTTAAGCATTTAGCACGACGTAAAATTTATATTATGGATAATATTATTATTCATATATTATGGTAATTGTTTCATCGTTGAATAAATATTACATTATTGAAAAATATGATATATTTTTAGAACTAATGTTTAAAATATTATTGTAGACAATTTAAAATAAGACGTATAATATACTTATATTCTTAAAATATATATAAAATAAAATAAATCACTTATATTTCCAGAAGTAATAAGTTTCATTTTGCATATTTTTTATCTGTATAGAGTAGAAACCATTGGCGCACTAAGTATAAATTATTGGTGGCGGGCCTGTACTATTAGAACGCTACAAATAAATATAGTTTAAAAATATAAAAAATATTTAGGCGCTAAAATATATTTTTAGGGAGCTAAGCTTCACTTAGTTGCGTTAACGCTATAACAAAAACACCATGCACGTCTAATCTATTAGTTTATATATAATTATTGTTAACCTCCTAGCAATAAGCAACAGAGTCCGTGGATGAGTATACCAACAACACCGATAATGAACACTGATATCGGTTGATGCATTGGATCTTGATGATCGATGTGTATGAGAGTTTGAATGGCTTCGACCACCAAGGAGAAACTAAGAGACGCCAAAAACACGCAACCGCCGAGCATTAAGACTACTTCGATCCTTGCCCATCCGAATGTGTTCTTTAACTTCTTCTCGGGAAGACGATGTACGCACTGTAGAAGTTGAAAAAAATAATGGCGATAAAAATATTACGAATCCCCAATGAATAATGGGCAATATTCACACTGGAAGACGATAATTGGCCAGACTTGGATACTGCCAAGTTGAACTTAGGTGAATCGTTCTCCACTTTTAGGATTTTTTCCACGCAACCTTCATTTGAGCACATCTCTTCATAATCGTTTTTCTGTAATATCACACACAAAATTACTTGTTAATTGCTGTGTATTATATATATCCATTTTATTATACTATTAAATATGAATAGTTAAACCATTAATATAATAGTATGTACTTAGTCTTTACCTTAATACATAGTACAGATCCAAAAAAGTATATAAGTTTGCATAGCATGTGGTACGAGTCGACGAGCAAGGTGAGTGAATGCGATACATGACTGAAAACTAGTTGCACTAAGAAATAACTTAATGTTAGTAAAATGACTGTATGGACTGCATGAGGATTAAAAATACGAAGCACTTTTTTGACTGACATTTTAAAGCCGCTGAAACAAAAAAATGTCAAATTGTAAATAATCAGATGAGTATTTTATACTATTATATATATCATATATAAATATAATACAATAGAAAATAAGAATACATTATAATTTTAAGTATCGGTTTAAAAAAAAAAATGTGTATTTCAAACGATTAATAATTTTTTCAATTTAAATAGTATGAAAGTTTTTAAATAAGTATGTTTACCAAAAATATGAGTAGATTAAATTGAAAATATATGTATTAAGTACACATTTTTTTTAAAAATTAAATAACCAATGTTTGAATAAAATATAATCAACATAAAACAAAAGAGATGAGTACAAAGATTTTAGGATATGAGGTACCTACTGAAAGAGGCGTATTGTATAGAAATTTGTTAATAATTGTATTTGAAAGTTTAATTCTTTGTGAAGTTCTGTTTACCTAAAAAAATGAATTAAATAAATGAATACTTCAACATCTTCATATTTATTGTTTTTATTTTACTTTTTTTTTTTTATTGATCTTATTTTAAGCCCGGCAACTAAGGCCATAAGCTTTGGATAGGAACAGTAAGTAATTTATGGTTTATAAGAACGTATTTACCGTTTTTTATGATAATTTAGTTACTGGTAAATTTTTAAAATTACCTTCTTAAAGTATACAATTCAATTTTCAATCTATTATTTAATATAGAAGTGGTACTCCATGATGAAACAACATTGAATCTTATTACTGCTACAAAATATGTTTTCGAAAAACCCCATAAAAAGTCCAAATTATTGTACAACCAATAAACTCGGTCGTTCCGCTCAGAATCTAAAAATGATTATTATATCTAAAGATGTACTTATTCGTGAAATAAATACATTTGTGAAAGAGTCTAACAATAGGTAATGAACAATTTCTAATACTTTTAAAAATAATAAGATTTGGATATTTGAAACTAGATAAAATAGCATGCGAGGTTTGATACACATTATATTTACAGTCATAATGCTAGCTGACCAACAATACTAATTATAGATTTATGATACTAAATATAATACTCGACACACAACGACAAGATTACCGCAGACTTTTATGAAATCGTCTATTGAAAGTACTTCTTGCTAGAAAATATTTGATGTGTCGAATAACTCGACTATTATTTACAGTTTTCTGCAAACTGGTAATAAACATGGACAGAAACATACCTAATATTAATAAATAATAGGTACACGTCGAAGTATTTTGATAGGATACATACAGACAGCTCTTAAGAGTTGAGCGATTCAAAATTATCAGTATTTGAAGTATTTGATGTTCGAATATGATGAGTGTATCATTTATTTAGTGATTGAATGACAAATACTAAATTGCTAAATAACAACGCTTACATTTTTGCACGTCGCGCATACGTAGTTATAACATGCTGACGAATGGGTATTATAATTTATCGCCAAAATTATATTTTACCTGTATATATTATATATTATTAAGTTCATACACTTTTTCAGTATTTCCCGATATCGTATAAAATTCCACACTAAAAATTTTAACTTTATAAGAACCAAGTGAGCATAAAATAAATACTGGCATAAGCACATAAGTCTATTGATCGAGTTAACTCCAGGAAAAATTTTAATTTATTCACAGAAGTCTAATCGAATTACTTACAGACAATAAATGGGTATGTTTTAGAAAAAAAAATAGTCAAACATTCAACATAGGTAGGTGTTTATCCATTTGCAAAATCTACATAGTATTATAATTTTAAAATCTTAAAGAAATTATACAACACATTTTATAATTTAGGCGTATTATTTCAATTAATAACTATATGGAATGTTGTGGTACAAGCTTACAGTTAGGCATTAAGACACATGTATCTTATGGTTGATCAGAAAGTTAACTTTTCAACCATTCATTGTTCTACCAGAGTATACACAATAAAAATACAAAAATATTGAATAGGTAGGTATTGCTGAAACATTATTTAAGTGAAGAATTTATCAATCTAATGATAACACTCCGACTTCTGACCTACGTACACGAATAAAATTATTAAATATAGATTCTTGAACTATATAATAGTCAATAGTCCTCTTATTATATTTTAGTTTTAACTTGTTTAAAACATCGTACAATATACTCCAAAATCATTCATAAAATGTTCTCATAGTAAGAAGTTTGTTTATTCTCGAAATTTAAGTAGTTATTAATTTTAAATTTTGAGCATTGATTCTTTAACTTAAAAAAATAGATAACGGACATTACACGGAGATTTAGTGCAACCCATATTATTATTTTTCATTTACACAAAAGTGGTGATAAATCATTGTATTCATACAACTATTTTGATCAGTCATAAATGCTTACATAAAACCAGTTAAGATTTTGATATCACAAATGCTATGTGTGTCGACGTGTTGTAAACCCATGAAATTTATTAAAATATGTTTTTCAAACTAATTGAAAAATTAAAATAATATAGGTACCATTTATAAATTATAATATTATAATACTTATTAGTTTAGTCGTGTTTTTAAATTAACTATAAACCATCGTTAAATAATTATCATAAAAATCAAATAATTATCTATTGTGTTCAATTTGACATTTTATAATGGATATATAGCAAGGATTTTATATCCTCACAAATTATTTTTCTTAAAATCAAACAGAAAATGCATGCCACAAAATATCTTCTTAGTTCCGATCAGAAAACAACAGGTTTGGGTATTTGTTTACATATATTGATATATTAATTTAAAATGTAAGGAAAAAGAGAAAATTCATACACTCGAGAGTAAAATATAGAAATTGTAAGATGTGTGTTTTAATACTGATAATAATATTTAAAATAAACGATTATATTAATGTATTTTTTGTTCTTTTTATTTTTAAATTTTTAAAAGATATTTATTTATACATTTTTAAGCCATACATTATTTAAATCTTAAAAGGCATTTATAATACCTAATGTAATGTTTTTTTTAAATTATATTATTATAATGTGGGCTTGTATTATTATAATAAATAAACATTCATACGTGATAAGTCATATTTTAAACAAGATAAAATAAATTGATATAAATTTTAATTTTACCTATGTATTTTTTACTCAGATTAAATAATAAAATAATTGTTTTGTTCAAAATAGTAACAATTATAAAAAAAAAAAAATAGTAAAATATTAAAAATATTATTAATAATATTCAATAACATTCTGGGCAAACGATGACCTTCAAAGTTTAAATAATATGTTGAATTAGTTGATGACAAGAATACTATGATAATATAACTTATTATTACAATCGGCTTTTTAATATATTGGTTTTAAAGAGTAGGTACTTGTGTATATCATTTAGACGACTAATGGATAAATTATAAGCACATATCATATGCTTATCTAACAAAATTATCTGTTTGTTGTTGTAATATATATATATGAAGCTATGAAAGTAAAATAATCATTAGTTAGTATTTAGCATAGTAAAATATAATAAAACACAACCAAAACAATTTAATTTTGTTAACTTCTATCAGTTTTTATAAAGTCATACAAGCAATATAATTAGTACCTATTGCGTCTATACTACATTATACTTAAATGACTAAATATATTATTTTGTACGTTTTAATATTCATAATAATAGCTGTTATCATAAATTTTATTGCATAAAATAATGACTTTAGTCGACATTTATCATGAACAATATGCATATTGAATTGCGTTATAGTAAAATATAAATGCATATAATATTATTGTAACTTAAATATATAAAATTTTATTTCAAGCAAGCTTCATTTGTGTCACAAGATCTAATAAAATCTGATTTTAGTTAAATAATTTTAGTTTTTACTTCATTTACTGTACCGAAAATTGTGTTAATCAAATGTACACAGGATTTTGAAAGCGTTCGATCGATTAATTCTTAACTCAGCACCGCAATGATATTGATTGGCCATAATTGAAATTTCATTAATAACTGTAGGAATCAATAAATTGACTAAAAAAAATTACTAATTTGCTAATTTACGTGACAAAATACGTTATTTCGCGTTTAGCATTTATTTTTTTATCATTGATTTTTTTCCTGTTCAAAGAAATAAAAATTGTACCTAATCACTTTTTATCGACACACATTAATAATTAGTTATTATGTATGTATACTCTAGTCTACATTCCTTTTCCTAATAGTGGTTATACATTTATGTTTTAAAATTAATTATGTTCATTTGATTTTTATTATTATTATTTGAACTAATTTTTGAGTGGGTATATCATTTTTATGAATGCTTACTCGACAACTTGTTCACATAATATATATCATATGTATATTTTTAAGTTGATTTTTATTTTGTACACATACGACATACCGAATATTTTTGAACAAAATAAATAGGAATTTCTCACCAATGTAGTAAACCCCAGTTCTATCTAAAATATAAATCTGTACTTGCATCTGTCGAGTAAATATTTAGAACGATTAAGTTAGTGTATACGTTTAAATTAGTATGGCTAATGGACAATGGGACAATCAAGAATTATTTGTTTGACTATATATATGTCGTATATTTTATTTACATAATTCTTTCTAACAAGAAATCCAAAGAAATATAACCATGTATTAAATTTTAGAAGATTAAGTATATATATAGTATTTACTATATATATATATATATATATATATATATATAGTAATCTACCTAAAATGTAAATGATAGGGTCGTAAGGACCATGTAAAGAATTTTAAACATTATACATCTGCCTTAATTTACGATAACTGGCTTATACCTAAAGGGTATATTTTCGAAGTAATTTTTATTAATCAGGTCTTTACTCCTAAATACTATATTTTACACATACAATATAATATATTAAGCTACTATTTTTCCAATACAGTGAAAACAACATATAAAACATTTAATAAAAATATAATTTCCTAAAAAGGTACGAGACATATTATAATATATGTTTAATTAATAATATTAGTGTTTTATCTAAAATTCTAGACAATTATGTTAAACCCTAATGATAGATTATTTTTATCTATCTCATGCAATAAATTATAAAATTTTTATAATCTGTGTATTAGTTACTCGTATATATTATAATAATATATATTATTATTATCTTAGTTAGGTATAGTCAGCTATAAGTACAATTGTTTTTATATATAAATAATAATATTATTTTACTTATAAGTAATAAAAGGTTTTTTTTTTTCTAAAACAATTTTACAATAACTATTAAAACGATTAAATGAATGCAAGACTATGTAGAATACTCCAATAAAATGATTTAATTATATAATTTTTGTTATTTTTAGGTATAAATAATAAATATAAAATACAGTCGCATATTATTTATTACTTTAAAATAACACACCAGTTACTACTAGTTACTACATTTAATACTAGTAAATGTATTTTGATTTTAATTTAGTGTCATTTTT